GATGGTATTTTATTTATCTATTACTATTATCATTATTATCAGGACCTAGACTTTGTTATCACATTTTCCTCAGCATAGCAGGGTTTGTCCTAGGATTTCATAAATGCCATCCTGCCTGGTGGGTTTAATTAAATATACAAATGATAACAGGGACCTGTTTAACAATGTGCAGCTGAACTCCTGTTTCCAGTATTATTCCATCTTAGGTCCTCAGAACGGGGGGAGGGGGTGTGTGTTAGTATAGACAGAAGGAGAAAAAGAAAGTCTATCTGGTATAGGCACATTTAGAACAAGAGCGAAATCTCATGAGCCACATTTTGGATTTAGAAAAAGTCCCATGGGCCCAGCCACTGGAACCTTTGTAACTTCAATGTACGTTTTGCCTGACATTGAACCTGCAGCATAGTGGCTAATATCTTGCTGCACAAAATCAGTGACCTAATTCCCTGGTGAAGCCCCAGTGAAGGGTTTGGATAGCAAACAGATGAGAAATTTGGCATCTTGACAAAAACAGTTAAAAGACTGAATGCACAACAGAATTTAAATAAAATTTAAATAAAAGAAAAACTTGCTCTTGTCTCCTGGGGCCTCGGAAGCCCTCATCCAGACAGATATCAGACCTTCCCCAAGCAGAGCCCGTCAGAAAGCCACACACAGCAACTACAACACAAATAAATGGACCGAAAGGACTGCCCGGGCCTGGTTGCCAGCACCATGCACTCTGTGTCCAGGGAACTGACAAGGTAGGGTTTGTGCACTTTGCAGGCTTCCTAACACCGTCTGTCCTGTGTGCTGCCCTGCAGGGCACCTGGCACCTCACATCCATCCTGAATACTCAGGAGGACTTCGTGGTGTATGCTTGTTCTCAGAGCACTGGGCATGTGGGCCTGCCTCAGTTTCTCCACTATGCAGTGCTTCCTCCCACGGTGGGCCTTTGCACCTGCTGTTCTTTCTGCTTCCACAGTCTTCCTTCCCCTCTCCACCCTCCCACCTCCTACTCGCTTTCAAGATCTTGACTGGATCAGGAGCCTTAAAACCTACTCCATTGTTCCCCAGTTCCCTCTTCACAGCACGCATCACAGCTCGTCGTTGAATATTTGCACTTCTGTTTGAGTAAAGTCTGTCTCCCCTTCCTGACAGTACACTCCACCCCGGAAGCAGGTACACCTGCCTTGTTCATCTCTGAGCACCCAGCACATCACAGAGAGCCTGCCACCATAGCATAGCCTCAGCATGAATGAAAGACAGTGTGACTATCCTCATTTTGTAGGTGAAGGAAGAGACCCAGAGAAAGAAGTCACTTCTTTTTTTTTTTTGTTGTTGTTGTTTTTTTATCCTCATCCGAGGACATTTTTCCATTTTTTGTTCAGGTAGAGTGGGAGGGAGAGAGAGGAACAGAGAGAGAGAGAAACATCGATGTGAAAGGAACACATCGAGTGGCTGCCACCCGCACAACCCAACCAGGGCCGGGGACAAACTGCAACCGAGGTACGTGCCCTTAGCGGGAACCGAACCTGGGTCTCTCAGGACCGCAGGCCGATGCTCTAACCGCTGAGCCAAACCGGCCAGGGCAAGAAGTCACTTCTTAAGGTAATAGTCTCTCAGCGCAAGTGCTGACCCTTGAACCCAGGAGTCCTGGATCTAAGCCGGTTCTCACCACTTCTGTGCCTGGGAGGACAGTTTTCTTGCTATTTCTGGGGAATATAATTTCAGGTTCTGGTGCCCCCACCCAGGGAGGGTGTCCAAGGCAATCACAGGCCCAGCTCTCAGTAATAGCAGAACCACCCCCCAGTGGCTGACACTCTCCCCAAACGCCCACAGCCCAAGTCAGCATGAGTCTAGCATCAGATGGCCTGGTCCCCCTCATTCCAAGATCACTCAGCATCTTCTCAAGGCAGGTCCCTGAAGGCCCTGCAATTACTCCCACTCTCCCCGGAGCCAGGGGTGTAGGGATGGGGATAATTAAGGAGGATGGCGACAGGCCTTTCTTTATCACCCAAGAATATCTCCTGCCTCCTGGAGGCATTTGCACCCTGGGTTCGGTGGTACATTCTCTCTCGTGATCACAAAGCTATTCACTTCATCACTGAACTCTTCCAGTACTCTGTGAAGGTCTGGTGAGAAACAGGGCTTAGCAGATACTGATACGTGAGGACGGGCACTCCATGAGTGCAGGGACCTTGTCTGACTTGTTCACTGCCACATCTCCAGTTAGGACAGTCCCAGGCACACAGGTGATGTTCAATCGATGGTTGTTGAATGAATGAAGAGGTCGCCACATGTCAGAAACTTAGCATACCTCTCTATGGAGGGACTGTTAAAGCCACTTTGACAGGCTAGGCAACCGAGGCTCAGAGAGTGAAGAGACTCACTCAAGGTCAAAGCTTAGGCAGCAGTCGGGCCAGGATTGAAAGCACCAAATGGGGAAAGATTAGGATTGGGGATTCAGGTAGGAAGGTCAAGATGTTGACTCTCTACAGATGTGAATGTAAGGGCAGTTTCAACGCCAGGAAATGTGTTCGCCAGGGAAGGGGGAGAGGAATACCATGCAACAGATTTTCAAACCAAGTGCCAAGTCCAGATTTTCAAGGTGATCAGGCTCCATGAAAACATCATCCAGTTTGTGGAGACTCAGGTGGGCATCCTAGCACATACCACAGGGTCCTGCAGCAGGGACCACTCAGGGACCCAGGCACCGAGGGACCAAAGCTCATGGGAAGAGGGAGGTCTAGTCCTTGCAGGGACCTGAGTAAGCAGGCAGGACCTGGGTCCCAGGTGAGATACAGAAAGCCCTGGAGTGGGAGTTCTAAGGCCATTCCTGTTCTGCCCCTGCATGTTCTGGTTCACATGCAAATCTGTTCCTCTCTCTGGGCCTCACTTTTCCCATCTATAGAATGGGCGTTGTTACTTTACAGTCTCGAGGGACCTCGGGGCCCTGTCACCTCTACACCTGTGTGACTGTACATATAAGTAAGTAGTTGTAGAGTCATCGCATCTTAGAAATGACCACCTAGCTCAATCCAACACAGGGATTTCTGCTCCAGCATTCGCACAATGGTAAGAGATTCTGTTGAATAGCTCTAGGCCTGTGGTCCTTAACCAAGGACAATTTTGACTCCAGGGCACACTTAGCAATGTCTGAGATATTTTTGGTTGTCACAATGGGAAAGGGGTATGTTACTGGGATCTTGTCAGTAGAGGCCAGGGATGCTACTAAATATCCTGCAATGCACAGGACAGTGCCCATACCAAAGAATTATCTGGCTCAAAATGTCAGTGGTGCCATGGCTGAGAAACCCTGCTCTAGGCAAAGGGACTCATTTCACCTTGCAGGGACTCCTGGACGCCTTTTGTGGCTATGACAAGCTCAGGAAGGCACACTTGGTGTAACTGCCTCCCTGGCCTTAGGTCTGCACTGTAAGGAGACCGGAAGGAAGGGCCTCACTGCTGTCTAAGGCAGCTGTTCGCACATCTGGGGATGGCTAGTCAAGGCCGCTCAGCCAACAGTGGTTTCCTGCAGAGTGAGTACTTGTGGGGCCGATGTCAGGGGTAAGGGCTGTCACGGAGGCCAAGACTTGAATGCAAGCTGGAGGGGACCAGGTGTAGACAAAGGGATGTGGGACTCAGGGAAGAGGGAGTATGTTAAGTTGAGAGTGGGGTCAGGGACATCTGGGGGGTTTATGAAGTGGGTAGTGACTAAACTGGGCCTAGAATGATGGGAGTTTCAATGGAGGGTACGGGGAGACAAGTGTTCTTATTGAAGACGAGGTCTACAAACAACACCTGGAGGCATGAGGGCCATGAGTTCAGCTGAGGGGTTGAACATCATCCTAGCCACAAGGACAGGTGTGGCCCACTCCTGCCCACCCACCTCTGCACCTGGCCATGCCGGCTCCCCTAGGTTGCCAATACTTGCCATTTCTTTACCCACCTCAGAGCCTGCAGATTCTGTTCCCTCAGTTTGGTGTACCCCCTCCCTCCCCTCTTTGCCCAGTTAACACCCACCCACCTACCCTTCAGATCCCAGCTCCCACCTCTTCCTCTGGGAACCCTCCCTGACACCCCTCCCCACTCCGTTATGTGTTCTCATGGTCCCATACTTCTCCCCCTCATAACATTGATCCTGGTTGACAGTTATTTATGTGATTATGGACTACGATCCTTCTCCACTGGATTGTAGGGCAGCGTGGGTAGTGCTGTGGTTGGAACTCACTATGAACCCCAGGGCAGAGCCTGCACATGTTAGGGCCTCAAGAAATAGCTGTTGAATGGAGGTTAGACAGGCAGTTTGAGACCTCAGGAGAGAGTCCTAAATGCCAAGTTACACTGGTGGGTAAGGAGGGCCCCACAGACCTCCTAACAGGGCTGTGCTGAGGACACTGTGACGTCCTCGGATCATGGACTGGGCAGAGGATGGAGGACTGAGCAGAGCCCGGAGACTGATGAGGAGACTGTTGCAAGGATTCTGGAACCAGAGGCCTGGACCCTGGGAAGGGGTGGAGGGAAAACAGCCCTGATTTGCTTCTGAGAGACTGCTGGTTCCCTCTCATTCCTTTCTGTGCATCCTGAGAGTGTGGGGAGACCGGGCAGCAGCCTGGTGTGATACTCTGCCATGTGGGGAGAAGGGCAGGAGAGGAGATGGGTAGAGGCGGTGATGCCGCAGACACTGCAGCTCAGGCATCCCTCTGAGGCTTTCTGACCCTTGGCCTTGTGCGGCTCCACCCCACCGCCAGGCAGAGCCAGGGAGTCTGCTCAGAGCACTGCCAGGGAAGCAGGCCAGCCAAGCAGCGGGTGGAGGCGCACAGGGATGGGAGGCAGCTTACATGTCACTTCTCATTAGCCACACCGGCAACTTTCCCGAACCAAGCAGAGGGGGGCGAATTAATTGCAAATTTGAGGATAAGCCAAAAGCAAAGATAACACTGAAATAACAGGAGATTGTATCTCCTTTCCAGTCATGAGTGGATCGGAATGCCTTACAGAGGGTGAGATGTGCTTACCTGTGAGGTACATCTCCTCCCCTTCGGTGAACATCTGGTGGCAGCGTACACATCTGGCACATGTTGGGTGGTAGTGCTTCCCTCCTGCCTGGGGACGTGAAAAGGAGAAACAGGTCAGACCTGGGGCTGTTGTCCGGTGGGGCAGGTTGGGTTTGAACATTTCCTGGACACGTTAGTCTTGTGGGCCTCTTTATGGCCCTGAGGTTGGATGGGAGTTCACCCAGGGGGTCCAGAACCACCTAAAGGTCCATCCAGGAAGCCTGGTAATTTCACAGCATGGGTCCCTCAGAGCAGTTCAGGGGACTTCTCTCGATACCCACACTTCTATTCTTGCAGAAGAAGGGCCCTTTGAAGGCTACCAGTCCCACCTCATTCCCAGATGAGGAAACAATCTTGCTTTGAGGACACCCCAGCATTCCCCCGAGAATGGGGTCCTCACCGCTAGGGCCACGTGGTACATGGGCCCAGCTTTAATAACATTGGATCAATGGGAAAAAGTGATCTCCTTTTCAAATTTCTATCAATTTCTGATTTTTTTTTCCCCAAGGAGAGTACCAGTTTGGTGCAGTACACCTTTAACATCTACCCCAAACTTACTATCCTACCTTTTAAAGAGAACAGGTGTAAGACTTGGAGCCTCCACGAGCAATAGAATCTAGCTAGAACTATATTTATTTTTTGATTAAGAGCAATATGGCAAGTGACCCTGGCTTTCCTATTATGTTATGTAAGTTTTCTTATATGTAAGTGAGCCGACTTAAAGACAATTTAAAGCATTGGTTAGGAGCCCGGCCGGTGTGGCTCAGTGGTTGAGCATTGATCCATGCTCCAAGAGGTCGCCAGTTCGATTCCGGTCAGGGCACATGCCCAGGTTGTGGGCCCGATCCCCAGTGGGGGGCACGCAGGAGGCGGCCAATCGATATTCTCTCTCATCGATGTTTCTCTCTCTCTCTCTCTCTCCCTTTCTCTCTCTCTAAATATCAATAAAGAAAATAAAATAAGGTATTGGTTAAGAAAGAGTACACGAGGTTCACAACGACAAATATTGAGAGTGGCAGGACAGACTTTTAGTACACAGTGGACAAAAAAAGGAACCCGCAAAGCCAGGGCCTGCTGGTGAGCCTCTGACCCCCAAGCCACTCCCATGATTGGTGTGCCTGGGTGCCTACCCCAGCTCACCCCAGTCTGGCCTTGGGGGAGCCCCTTTCCCTATTCCCACTCTCTCTCTCTACCATTATTTAAAGGGAAAACAAGAATGACCAGCAGCTGCAGAACTGGCTTCATAGAAGGCCGTGACTCTGGTGTCATCACTGAAGCCAGTAGCGGGGCTGGAGCTGGACTCGTGAGGGCTAGTCCCCAGCCCAGCACTCATGACCACACTGACAGCTCACACTACGGTCCCAGCCAAGAGGACCTGATGGGCCGGGGCCCTTCCGTGGCAGCTCCTGGGTTTCCACATGGGAGGAACTTGGTGCAGTGGTTGGGCAGAAGGTGGGGCTTGTTTTGAACATATATTTTACATGTTGGGGCAAGATATTTTGGGGGGACATTTCTGGAGAAAATTGATGGATATTGGGAGGGGTTGTTAAAGCACCTCCCTAACCCCCAAGCCATCACTCGGTCTCACGCAAATGAGTTCCTTCCAATTCAAAAATTGTAATTGCATAATGCTGAAGGCCTATTTCCAAACCTTTTTTGGGGGGAGAGTTTGGGCATAGGCTTGCCTATACTGGAAATACCTGATTTAGTCTAAAAACAGCGAGAATGTGAAAAGGACCGATTACCAAAACAACAAAAACCCTTCCCTATTTCTTGTTTTAGTCTGGGCTGTTTGTGTGGCTCCCGCCAAAGATAAAATGTCTTTATCACCATCAAAGGAAACTGCTCAAACATTGGAAGGAGCATGTTCTTTTCCCAGGCTGAGACACTGGGGCGCTGGTTCTCCCATACCACGAGGTATCGGGGTAGTCAGTAGCCTCTTCCTACTTTATGTCTCTTTTTCACTTGAATTATAGACCTGTTTTCCAGGGTGGCAACAGCATGTTGGCAAAACTGAAGCCTGGCACCTTCCTAAATGTCATGCTCCACCACCCAGCCCCAGCTCAAAGAGGCTTCGTGCCCATTTCAGCACCCTGGCCATGGATGGTGTTGAAAACAACTGGAGGGAGGGAGGGAGGGAGGGAGGAGGGAGGGAGGGAGGGAGGAAGGAGGGAGGGAGGAGGCTGCCAGAGCAGCTGGCACCAGCCTAAGGGAAACCAAGTTAGTGAGATAAGATGAGATACTCTGTTAACAAACTGAAGTCATGAAAACAGTGAAGAAACATGGCGAAGATTTAGCACCTGAAAAACAGGCCATACTGGAGAGGACTCTGAACCGCACACAAGGTTAGGAAAGGCAGCACGAGGGCACCGGGTTTGTGGTTCTCCTTGGCTGGGACATAGACTAGGAAGGAAGGAGTGTGACTGGCGCTCAGCATACTCAGCTCTGTCACTGGGGAAGAGATCCTGGGGTGGCCTGGGGAGGGGATGGGAAGGGGAAACGGAATCTAATTATGTGCCTATTGTGTACCTGGCAATGTATTGGGTCCTGTAGTGGGTAACTGTTGTTTTTGCCTGGCCAACATCCTTCCTCCTGCTTCCAGAAATAGCATCAAGCCTTTCCTGGGTGGGACTTCCCATCCCCATGTCAGCCCATGTGGTTAAGTTAAGTGGGACTGACACCACCAGTAAGTGTGTTCCAACTCTGGTCCCAGATACTGGTTCAAGATGAGGCTGAGATTGTCTAGTAAGATGCAGCCCCAGGATGTTTGTGGAGCTATTAGAACAGAGAAGCTCTCCTTCCATTGGGGATGCTGGCTGATAGGAAGGATATAAGCCTGGAGGCACTGGTGTCCAACTCCCCATCATGAAAGAGAGCCTTCCTGAGAGCAGAGCCAATGCACAAGAAAGTGAAGCCAAGATGGCCAGATATTCCAGATGCATTTGTTTGAGTGCAGAATCCAGCTATGCCCGAAGCCATAACTACTCCTGGGCTTTTTATTATGGCAACTGATAAATTTCCTTTTTGGCCTGAGCCATTTGAGTATAGTTTCTGCACTTGCAACCAAAAATGTCCTGACTAACTATAAAGGAAAACACACTATATGTCTCCTTTACTCTCATACTACTACCCCATTCATAGTGCTTCTGCCAGATGTGTGAGTTTTTTCCCTCCACCAAGCAATTCTCTGTGACATCCGCTGGGTGTCCTATGATTTAACTCAAGTCTGACACTATCTACCTGGAGAGAGAGTCAGAGCCCACAGATTAAGGGCTCAGTCTCACAAGCCTAACCCTCCCATCAACACACACTTCGGATACCATTCTCAAGTCCCAGGCTGTCACCTGTACTTCTGACTGACTGGCTATAAATAGGGGTTCTCATGACCTCCTAACTTGGGTTTCATAATTTGCTGGAATGGCTCATAAAACTCAGGGGGACACTTATGCTTACCAATTTACTATAAAAGGATGTGATAAAGGATACAGAAGAGCATCCAGATGGAAAAGATGCATAAGGGCAAGGCACGTGGAAAGAGGCGAGGGGGGTCCCTGCCCTCTCGAGGTGCTCCACTCACCCAGAGCCTCCAGGTGTTCACCAACCGGAAGCTCCCTGTGCCCTGACTTCTGGGATATTGGAGGCTTTGTTACATAGGCATAATCATTGAGTTAATGCTGATTAGCTCGATCTCCAGACCCTCTCTCCTTCCAGGAGGATATGGGATGAGGCTGAAAGTTCCAAGTGTCTAATCATAGCTTAGTCTTTCTGGTGACAGGCCCCCATCCAGGAGCCCACCAAGAATCGCCTCTTTAGAACAAAAGACCCTCCCATCCCCCAGGAAATTCCAAGAGATTCAGGAACTCTGAGCCAGGAATCGAGGTAGGTCAAACACCAAATATTGTAACAAAAGATGCTCCTAGTGCTCTTATCACTTAGGAAATTGCAAGGGTCTTGGAACCCTGTGCCAGGAACCAGGAGCAGAGGTCAATATATATATTTTCTAATAGACAAGAAAAATAGTTCCATTAGTAGTTAAATAACAGTAGTAGTCTCCATTGACAGATAAAGACTCTAAGACTCAGAGACAGCGACTTGCTTAAGGTAAGATTGGAATCCGAGTCTGTTCCACTCTAACCATGTATTTTTCATGACATGACGTTATTTGAAGACCCCCGAGTGGCTGAGCGCTGTGGGCAGTGGTATGGGATATAGGGGCCCGGAGTCCTAGGTTTTGCTCTATCTCTACCAGAAATACTACAAGTGACCTTGGAAAAGCACCACCTGTCTTGATGCTCCAGCTCTAAGAAAAAAAAAAATCAATATATCCAAGATGCTAATGGAGCCTTGTACAAATGGAATCAATTGACACGCAGTCACAACAGCTTCCCGAGAAGAGGAGGCTCCCAAAACACTAAAAGACAGTAACAGGCAGGGAGAGACAGCCACCATCGACACAATTTCAGAGCAGCGTGGAAATGCTGGAACAAATGCCCATTTGCAGCCCTGTGTGTAATCAAAGTTTATTTTCCTTCTTGAAAGAAATGTCTGCTTTCCTTTACCTCCCATCCCACTGACCGTGTACCCCACTACAAGCTGGATGCCTCCCCCACACAACTGTGCAGACCCCCAGAATGGCTCTCCTGCCGGTGACTTCCTCCGCGCCCCACAGCCTTTTCTCAGCCCGCACAGCCCTTAACTGCTCGGAGAACCTGAGCAGCACGCGGACTGACCTAACCATCTTCCCTGCAGGTCAGTCTTCCCACGGCCCCTCCCCCGCCGCCACCTTCCCCCACCCCGGCTGCTCTCCCTCTTTCTCTGATAACTCCTGGCCTCCTCCTGCCACCTGTGAGCGGCTAACCCTCACGACTGCCTTCAGCTCGCTCTCTCTGAGATCCCGATGGCTCCCATGGTGCTATTACTTTTTAGGTTGGTCCCTCCAGGCCTGAACTTTGTCTCTGAGCTCTGATCCACATTTCTGACTGCCCTCCTGCAACCACCTGGAATGTAAATCACAACCTGTCCCAAACGAACTCACCGTGCACCTGGCCCGATCAGCTTCTTTCCTGCCATCCCGATCTCTGCAAAGGGCACATCGGACTCCTCTCACCCAGGCCTGACACTCTGGCACAACTGTTGACCTCTCCTCTTTCAGTCTTCATGTCTACCGGTGCCTCACGTTGCAAAACTCCTGGAATTCGACTTCCCTAGTCTCAGGGACAGGCTGGTTGGCCTTTCCACGGCCACTATACCTCTGAGTGCTACCTGTAGGGTCATGGCCTCCTCGCTGGTTTCCCACTTCCCGTTTCTTTCCTTCCGATTTAGCCCATGTACATCCCGTTATCCTCCCTGAGGGGTAGCTCTAAGCAGTTCACTTGTGCTTGGTCTTCCCACAAGCCCCCGTTGCTGAGTGAATTACCTACAAACTCCTCACCCTGGTGTCGGGGCCCCGGAAACCCGGGCCCAGCACCTGCCTGTGCTCCTGTTTCGTGCCTTATCTTCCACGTTGTACTCCTATGCTCCCTGGAAAAGTGTAATAGTTTATCAACTCTGTGCGTTTGCTTATCTTGTTCTCCCTGACTCCTTACAATCTTTTGAAAACCTTTCCTGGTCCTCTCTCCTGCTGAGCCCAGATGTAGCTGCAGAATCCTTCTTAACATAGTGCTGACTCCAGGCAACCACTACCACCTGGCCAGACCTGTTAGCATGAATGATTCTGCTCTCAAGAGCTGACCCACTGTGCCATCCCCGGCCACTGTCAGACAGGAACACGGAGGCCTAGGAAGGCGAAGATGCTCACCCAATCTGAATGTGAGTTAGCCGCTGAGTGACCAGTAGAGCCCAACCGTTCCTGCTTTTAGGCTATTGTTGTTTCCTTTACACCAAACTCTTCCCTGTTTCTAATTCCTCAAGGTAGGTGGTTCCAAAGCCATGATGGTTTCCTGCGCCCACCAGTGTGGGAAGGAAGGCCAGAGGGCCAGTGGGCAGGGGCTCAGGCAGGAGCCCAGCAAGGGTGCTGCAGGTTGTCTCGCACTGGCAGAGCAAACTGCACTAGAGGTGGAGGAGAGCTGTTGCCATGGCAATGGACCAGTCAGAGAAGGGCTTAGGGAGCAGGCTGCTAGGCAAGCTGGTTCTTAAATCAGCACATTTACCAAATGCTTGAAAAATAAAAAACGGCTTCCATCCTCTAGCAGGGTTGGGAAGAAAATCATAATTGTTACTCACTAGTAACCTACCTGGGTCTGACAGATTACTGCTATTCCCATCCCAGCATTTCTGAGCCAGAAATAATTTTGTTTAGCTTCTCATTTTGGGGTGCCCAGAGAGGCAAAGTTATCTGCTTAAGGTCAAGTTGCGGACTAAGCTGGGGCAGAGGAAGCAGGGGAAGTGGAGGCTACGGAAGAATCGGGGGTGGGGGTGAATTTCTCTGTCCTCAGGGATGACTTTTGGGAGTCACAGGCCTTTCTGCTTAAACATCTTCACAGTTACTTGTACCCACTCACCTCCAAGACCCTGCCGCTGATGTATCGGTCACATGTCTCGCATTTAATGCCAAACTGGGAGTGGTAGTCAGATTCGCAGTACGGGACGCCATCCCTGCAAGAGGAAATCCACACAGGAAGAGGAAGTTGGGGGGTCTGTGGAGGTTTCAGGACCTGCAGCCTATGGGGACTGAGCCAAGATTAGAAGCACTGAGGGAGCTCGTTAAAAATGCAAACTCCCCCTGCCCAGCTGGTGTGGCTCAGTGGTTCAGCATCAACCCATGCACCAGGAGGTCGCTGGTTCGGTTGGTTCCCGGTCAGGGCACATGCCCAGATTGTGGGCCAGATCCCCAGTGGGGGGCATGTAGGAGGTGGCCAGTCAATGTTCTCTCTCATCGATGTTTCTATCTCTCTCTCCCTTTCCCTTCCTCTCTCTCTAAAATCAATAAAGAAAAGAAAATGCAAACTCCCCAGACACCCCTCAGATCTATGGATTCAGAGAACCCCTGGGGGCCCAGGAGTCTGCATGTTCACAAACTCCGGGAGCATGTCCAGGAGCCACGGGGCTGCTGCTGGCCAGGTGTTCACTTTTCACTCTCCTTCGCCCTCCCGACAGGTTCTCTAGACCCACTCTCTTCCCTTTACCCCAAAGGGCTCTTCTGAAAAATGTTTAAATTTTATTAAGAATTATTTTATTTAGCATAGATACTATTTTCTCTTGGCACATTACCAAGGCTTAAAGGAGGAAGTCTTCACCCTCCTCCTACCAGCCCTTCCCAGTTTCTCTTCCAGGAAAACCAGGAGATAATCAATGTGATCAATTTTTTTTTTTTTTTTTTTGGTATCCTTAAGGGCTCCTCTTCTAATTAAAAATTTCCCCTGTGGTGAAAGAATCATCTGCCTGTGCTCCTGGATGAGCAGGTAAACAGGAACCTTCCCGACCACCTCCTCCGTGCTCCATTTTTGTCCAGTGCTTATAACTTATCAGGCAGTAATAAGATTGTTAATTATTTTTATACTACCCCCTACCGCTAACTGCCACTGACATTTATTGCTCGGTGTGCGGCAGGCCCTCTGATGGTGTTTTACATAGATTACTTTATTTGATCCTCAAGGCAGCCCCGTATGAACAGAACTGTCAGTCCCCATATCGTGTGGCTGAGAAAAGCCGACTCGTGGGACCTGGAGCTGGATTCGTACCCAGGCGGTCTGGTTTCTTATCCAGATTTTCGTGAGGATGAAAGGACATGGCTCCAGTGTGTTCCAGGGCTCAGCACAGTGCCAGCCTGCAGGGAGCACTTGGCAGGCAGAGGAACCCCCGTGTGACGAGCGGGGTGTCCAAGGAGGACGCGTGGGGCTCCTCTATCAGGGCCAATGTGGACAGAGTTGGGGACATTAGAGCATTTAGTCTAGCTCCGGGCCCTGCGTAGCTCTAAGAACTAGATCTGATGACCTCTCTCTGAAGTGCCGATGACCTCTGTGAGGAGAGAGGAGCATTTCCCCCACTTTTAGGTGTGACAGACCTGGCTCACACACAGAAAGACCTCAGGGACAGGCACGTCATTGCTCCAAGTTGTTGCCATGCTGGGATTTCTGGGAGCCCACCCTGGGCAGCGGGGCAGTCGGGAGGTGAGACTTGTTTGTGGGTCCATGAAACAAGCCTCCCCGCCCCTTCCTACCCTTCCACACTCTGTGGGTGTGGGAGGGTGACTCTGCAGGGGTAAAGTCGTTTGCCAGGCGGTAGGGACAATGAGCCAGTAAAATTTGGGTACAAATGCCAACATCATCTCATTTGGACCCATGGGTTGGTGAGGCCTTGGGGAATTTGAAATACACACAATTCATAAAAGAAGCAGAAAGTAAAATTAATATTTACTAGGTACTTATTAGGTATGAAGCGCAGATCTCTGAGCCTTTACACAACACAACCCTATGAGGTGGTTCATCTTCTTATCCCCATTTTTATAAATGAGGAACCTGAGGCTTGAGGAAATGAAGTGTCTTGCCAAGGTCATGCAGGCTGGGCTTCTCACCTGGGCAGCAATTCCGGAACCAGTGCCTCAAAGCACCTGCCACCCGGCTGGGGGACGGATGAAGAGCCCAGAGCCAGGCTGCAGTGGCCCAAGGTGTGGGCAGTCCAGGCTGGGTCTCCATGAGAGGAGCTCTAAGCAAACCTACTCCCCCAGAGAATTCTGACTGAGGCTCCCAGACTCAAGGACTACTAGCTGGCGACTCACTCAGGGCACTCGTTACTTGGCAAGCATGCTAAAATCCTCCCGATATGGCATTCACTATGGTCTCAGTGATGCGACCTCAGGCCACCTCTGCAGCCTAGGGCCCTGCTGCACCTGTGCACACGCCTGAGCACACGCCTGAGCTCCAGCACATGGGATGGAGGTGTCCCACACCTCCCTACCCTTGCCTAGAAGCTTTCCTTCGTTGTATTTTCAAATTTTACCCCCTTTCTGAGGTTCAGCCCAAATACCACCATCTTTCATGAAGCTCTCACAGATTCCAGATTCTGCTTCCTGCCTGTTAGAAGTGATCTCTCCTTTCCCCGAAGATTCCCAGCCCTTCACTCGGACCTTCCATTTCTTTTAGGCACTTGAGTGTAACCGTGGTCCCTCGGCCAAGCAGGAAGGGGCGTGTCTAGTGCTGCAGTGTGCAGGCCACTAGGAGCTGGGCCCTGTCTCCTGACAACTCAGTCACTTTAACTGAAGCCCATCAGTCACCTCCTTTCCTCTTGGCTAATTCATTCAACAGCTGCGTCGTTGCCCACGTTGGCGCTGTGCTAAAGGCAGCAGTGCTGTCTGGCCAGCATCCATCCCTCTGCCCGTGGCAGTCCCTCGCCACCCCTCCCCGCTTGCACTTACTGTGGGCCACAGAGGGCCGCTCTCTGGCTCTAGGGGTCACATTCTCCTGGCCAGTCACTGGCCAGGAATGAGCGTGTGACCCAAGGGTGGTCAATCAAGTCACAGGCAGCTGTGGGACTTTTGCTAGAGTTCTTGGGAAAGAGGCCTCTCTGTCTGCTGGGCTTGCTGAGCTGATAGAAAGAAAGCTGAGAGTTGCTGGTGGTCATCTTCCCACTGAGGGAGGCCCTGCTTGAGAATGAATTCAACACCGAGGAAGACAGCTGACAGAGAGACTGCCAAGGTGCCGATGGCATCTCTTTCAGCCCCGATTCACCTGCTGGAAGCTAGTATGCCTCTGGCCTTCCCATCCCTATGAGTCAGAGACGCTTCCATTTTTGCTTTTAAGTGAGTTTGGATTGGGTTTTCTGTCACTCATGATCAGAAATGTCTTAAGGAATGACACTTTTCTTGAGCTCCCTGTCACATATCCCCGGGGTCATAACTCCTTATGCATATAGCTTATCTCCCTTATTAGACTATAATTTTCTTGACAGCAGAAACGGTGTACGCTGTACTTTACAGGCTCACCAGGTCCCGGCATCCGGCAGAGTGGTCCCTAGGAAGTGTCCGGGGAAGTGTCAAAGCTGTGCGGTGTGGCCGTCATTTCTTTTAGGCACTTGAGTGTAACCGTGGTCACTCGGCCGTGCAGGAAGGGGTTTGTCTAGTGCTCCAGTGTGCAGGTCACTAGGAGCTGGGCCCTGTCTCCTGACAGCTCTGGTGCCCATCAGTCACCTCCTTTCCTCTCGGTTACACTCATTCAGCAGCTACGTCGCTGACCATGTTGGGCACTGTGCTAAAGGCAGCAGTGAATAAAACCGTCCCCGCCCTGGCGAGGACAGACATTAAATAGTGCCACTGGAGCAAATTACTTATTCCCCCAAGCCTCAGTTTCCACAGCTTTTAAAATGGGGATAAATACCTCATGAGGGTGGTTATGGGGTTTAAGGTGATAATCCGTATATAGCAGTTAAGTATGTTTTTTGTACATAATAAAAAATGCAGTAAATGGTGACTAGTATTATTACCATCATTGAAAAGTCAACATGGATAAATATAGAATTGCAAATGCTATTAGCTTGGATGAAGGAAACAAACAGGCACTAGGAGAGCCAGCTCTGGGGGACCGGAGGTGGTAAGAGGCCACCTCTGAGGAGAGGGTGGGACCTGGGACCGGAGGGCAGGGAAGGAGCAGGTGAAGGAGGGAGAAGAGTATCTCAGGCGAAGGAAGCACAGTGGGAAGGCTCAAGGGTGGGTGAGATGCTGTTTGTGGCTGAAATGTGGTAGCTGGATGGAGATGAAGGAAGATGCTCCGAGAGATTCGGGCAAGGGCCAGATGGGGCAGCCCGGCAGAGTGTGGGGCCCAGGAAGCTGCACGAGAGCGGGGAGAGACCCACTTGCTGATGTACTCCCCGGTGAGGATGACGCTGCAGGTCTGGCATTTGAAACAGCTGACGTGCCACTGCTTGTCCAGTGCCAGGAGCGACTGGCCATGCTTGATCTCCTCCTTGCATCCAGCACAGTCTGCAAACACAAGAGGATGCTGCTGAGCAAAGCATCCCGGGCCCCTTGGGCACGGCCATCATCTCAGCCCAAGTCAAGGACACCTCTCTGTGAACAGTTTCCCATAACAGTTCCCACCCTGGCACCTGTCCAGAGCTCTACTGGGTGAGAGAAAAGGCCACCAGAGCCCTGGCCGCCCGACAGAAGTGTGAGGGAGAAAGAAAGACCTCCCAGGGTTCCCCCAGGAAGTTCCAGCTTGTCGTCCTGACCACTGTTCATCCAAAGAGGGCCCTGCACTGCTTCTGGCCTGCTCTCAAGTAGCTAATAAGCCCATGCTACTCTCCATGACCCGGGGACCTGCAGCATCAGCACCACCTGCACACATGGCCGAAGGCCCCACCCAGACCTGCTGCGTTTTATCAAGATCTCGCTGCGCCGTCAAGTCTGAGAAGTACTGCTCCAGGGGATACGTTCGGTGTCTATTTTTTCTTACTCTTAGGCTGTACGCTCAATGGCATGGATCCTGTCTATGTTTTGTGGTTAAATCCACTCTCTTGCCTAGTACCCTGCTCAGCATGAGTACGAATGAGCGGGACTTACGGTACCCAGGCAAAGGATGGAATTCACCATGCCGTCCCCTCCCCAGTGTGCTTCTATACCAAACATTTGCCTCCCCAAGCAGCAAGGATCAAAAAGTCTGGCGAGACTGTCCCAAACCAGAAAGGTGCCCTTACTCTCCCGTCATCCTGACACATGTGCTGGGGCCACAGAATGTGGGGGGCCCAGCAGCTGCCTGTTGCTCAACCAATGTCTGGGGAGGGGCAGGAAATGGAGCCAGTGTCCAGGGTACTTGGGAGATGCTGGGAATTGGGACCTCGCCGACCGGATGGCCCACTCTGGAGGAGGAAAGGGTCACGGGGCGAAGTTACCAGAGGACAAGCCTCCCTTTTGGCACCACAAGACAAGCGTACGCTTCAGAGCAGTGGGGAGAAAAACGGCACGCCACGTTGGGAGAGCCTGGTGGGCGGCCCTCACGTCCGGCTGGGAGCCAGTCTCGGGAGAGAAGACGACACGTTGCGTGTCTAGGGGGGGTGCGTGCCCCTGCAGGCTGGGGGAGGTCTGCACCCTGAGGAGGTGTTTATGAAGCAGCTCCACAGCACCCGCCCCCTGGGGGCTCAGCCCCTCTCTAACACCTCTCAGCACAGGCTGGGGGCAGGAACATCTCCAACTGCAAAGTGCTTCAAGTCCCAGGCTTTCAGATGGCAGCTGGGAAAATATTTTGGGGTTTATTTTTTTCCTTTTCTCTCGGGATAATTCTACCCCCACCACGGCTTCAGAATGTAATAATTTCAGTAATCACGGCTTCAGAATGTAATAGTTTAGAGAGGTGAGGCACCCCCTCTCCTTTCACAGACAGACAGGGGTCAGTGACTTGCCCATGCTTGGCATAGAAGAACCCCAGGGTCCAGGTCACAGATACGGCACTTGTGTCTGCCTGGGCTCCCCAGAGGGTGAATAATTCCCCAGGGGCTCAGAGTTCACAGAGCATACAGTCACAGTTTCACCCAATGCAGGAATCTACCGCAGTCTTGACAGGTGGGCACCATCCTGTTTGGTCACCTCCAGGGGTGGGCAGCTCACCCCTCTTGAGGAAGTCTACTTTGCCTTTGGGCAAACGAGATCGTCAGGGCTGCCTTCTTTCTTTGGAGCCGAGACCCAACTCCTTGGGACAACCCTCTTTTATGCAACCAAGAATAATCTACCTCTTTTCCCACAGGACATTTCCTTCAAATATTTAAAGGCAACTACAGTTTCTCTCGTATTCTTCATTTCTTACACTGACTTTTCCTTGTTGAAAACGGTCATTCACTGATTAATTTCACTAGTGGATTCCATGGACACAGGCATGTTATTGGCCAACAACACAGTGATCTACCTCTCTAATAACTGGAGAGCTGCATTCTTTCATGGCCCAGTCTAGTAACAAGTCCCACCTCCCTGAGTGGCAGTGATCTATCTGGGATGAGGTGAGCACCTCGAGTAAAAGTTTAGGAGGTACTACGGTGTAGTGATTAGAAGTTTGGTTGAGAGTTTGGTTGAGAGGTAAAAGGTGGTGGAGGGGAGAAGCTCAGCTCCCTCACTTGCTAGTTGTATGGCTACTAGGCCCAACTTCCTCATCTGACTACTTTTCTTATGACCTTGGTGTGAAGATGAACTGAAGTGAGGCCTGTAAGGACTTAGCATAGTGCTTGGCACATATGTGCCCGATATGTGGTTGCTGTCATTATTATTTCACATTCTCATATTTTTAACCCACATTCTCTGCGTCTCCAGTGACTGATCTGAGGCAGGAGCAATATCCCTGTAGTAAGGAAGGTCTGCTGACCCCTCTGAAAACTCTGGGATACCTTTTCCACGAGGTTTTTCTTTTCATGTTAAACTGCCGGTCCTCCAATGTTCTGGCTTCATGTTTTTCATAACCTTTTCCCTCTTTTCTTCCTCCATCCACTCTCGGCCACTGGTGGAGCCTCAGGCACCCCATCCCGGAGCCCACAAGTCTGTGTCGTAACCACACCCTGGCCCTAGTTGGCTTCTATAGAGCCAGCTGTCCACTCCTCATACGTTTCTCTCTATTCCAAAATCACAACCTTCAGCTGGCAGAAGGTATGATGCCTCCACCTGTTCCTTCCAAATCCCTCAGTTTGTTGAGCTCTCTAAAGACCGCAGACAGCCATTTTTAGTTTTATTTTAACTGCTTCATTCATTTCACTTAGATCAGCAAAGATGAGCAGGTTTTGTGAGTCACAGCAAGCTCCCCACCTGGTTATCGGCAGCTAATCCGAACAGACCCTATCCTAATTAGCAAATCCTGTCTTTGGTAGAAGGTGTTAAGGGAATAGGCTCCAGGGCCAAACTGCCCAGGCTCACATCCTAGTTCCATTATTTACTATCTGTGTGACTTTGGGCAAGTCATTTATGCTTTTTGATTCTCATTTTTGTAATCTCATAAAGTTATAATGTTTTAATGAAATATTATATATAGAAAACTTAGTGTATTGCCTGACAATAGTAACAGTAGATCAGTGTTAGCAGTGGTGATGGTGGTGGTGGTGGTGGTGGTGGTGATGGCGGCGGTGGTGGTGATGGTGGTAAGTGATGGTGATGATGGTGGCGGTGGTGGTGGTGGTGATGGTGGTAGTGATGGTGGTGGTGGTGGTGGTGGTGGTGGTGGTGGTGGTAGTGATGGTGATGATGGTGGCGGTGGTGGTGGTGGTGATGGTGGTAGTGATGGTGGTGGTGGTGGTGGTGGTGGTGATGGTGGTAGTGATGGTGATGGTGGTGATGATGGTGGTGGCAGTAGTGGTGGTGAAGGTGGTAGTGATGGTGATGGTGGTGATGATGGTGGTGGCAGTAGCGGTGGTGATGGTGGTAGTGATGATGATGGTGGTGATGATGGTGGTGGCAGTAGTGGTGGTGAAGGTGGTAGTGATGGTGATGGTGGTGATGGTGGTGGTGGTGGTGGTGGTGGTGATGGTGGTAGTGATGGTGATGGTGGTGATGATGGTGGTGGCAGTAGTGGTGGTGATGGTGGTAGTGATGGTGATGGTGGTGCCGCTACTGCTGCTGATTCTTATCACTGAAGTCTATGAGGAAACATTTCTTCTTCCTGTAGATTTTTTTCCTTAACATGATTTTTTTCTCTTAACAGTTCCTGAGTATTCTTCTTGACCTATTTTGAGTAGATACTACTCCTACTTTTCCAGAAAGTCTTTATTCACCCTCCAGAGATGACACTTCACATTCCTGTAGATCAAAATTTCATCACGTATTTTCTCCTCTTTCTTTTCCCATGATACCTTCCTCATCTCAGCACTCTCTAGAAACTGATTTTGGTTCCCTCTGTCCTTTGAGAACTCAGCAGATCTTCCAACATTCCCTCTAGTCATGTGAAGCAGGGACAGCGACGACCTTTGGGCAGAAAAAATTTCTATGAACCACAGATTGATGTCTTTACTTTGTGAGGAACAAAATGAGCCATCGTCCTGGGGACTCCCCCCAGAGAACTGACCATATTGTCACTTGCTTCCCATTAGCCATTCTTCCTCACCTTCCTCTACCTCCTGATTTGCAGAATTTTGATGGAGACATTGAGTAGCTTCTCCTAGAGGACACATTCATGTGCAAGACTCCCACACTCAGCTGAGGAATCTCCCACCTGTCTGACGCACACAGTAACACACACACAGCTGAGAGGAATAACGACAGATTCAGGAATCTTCTTCTCAGTTCTCTTTTACCATGCTTTCCAGATTAAACCTCCAAGTCAACAGCATACCTCACTTTATGTTTAGAGAGCATTTCACACACTATGATGTATGTTAGTCTGATTCCTGTATACTAATATACATTTTCTTTCTACATAACTGGGTAAACTGAGCCTCAGGGAAGCTACATAACTTTCTGTCACACAGAAGGTTGCAGGCTCCTGAGTCCCAGCTCCCCTCTCTCTACTGCCTCACAGTGGTTCCACTGGTCTCCGGGCACCTCAGCAGCATCAGTCACGGGGCTGTTGTCCTGCATCCTAGCATCCCGGCCTTGCTGTCATTCTGCATGATGCTTTCAAGGAGTTATCAAAGATAGCAGTGTGTGCTCAGCCACCTTGAAATGGAAACCTGTTCAGAGCAGCAAACTGTTCTTGAGCATCACCAGGGACATCGAAGGAAGGGCTGTACTTTCCACAAACAGATCCGATTTGACTGAAAGGAAGGAAGGGTGAGGGAGGGGGCCTTCCCACAGTGTTTCTCCCCAGCTCACCACACTGGGAGGACTCTAATGGAGCCCCTGGGAGGTGAGCCTTGCCGACTCGGGGTGTGGCATGCTCACCCACCTCAGTAGGATGTAGCCCTAGCATGCTGAGTCTGCAGGTGCCATGTCTGACAGCCCCCCACACCGACACAGGGATACAGCACAGGAGGCTAATGGGTTTCCATTGATTTTGCTGACAAGGCCAGTGAGTGTCATGTGGCAGGATAGAACACTAGAGTCGAGCGTGGCTGAGACCCGAGGGGCCGGGTCCATGTGCGCATGGCAGCAGCCTGACAAGGGTGTCCGGGAACAGGGATTCAGACATCTTACTGCCAGACACCCTTGAGTGGAACGGATAGTCCACACATTAGAATGACCGTTCCAAGGTACAGTCCTGATCCTCAGTTTCCCCCCAAAGTTATGGTTTAGTGATAAAACAGAACATTTACTATAGCGTGGCGGATGTCTCCCTCATCCCTAGACGGTGATCCTCAGTCTTAGGAACAGGGAATGAATCACCCAGGAAGCTTGTTAAGAATGAAGATTTGGTTGCATCCCTGGAGTCCAGAGTGGGCCGGAAGCCTGTGCTGTGACCAGCTCCGCAGTGCAGCTGGTGCCGTGGTCCCCGGAACACACTCCGAGAGACACCAGCTCAGCCTTTGGTTTGCTCCCACGTGTTCTCTTTTGTAAGACACGTCGGAGCAGTCCTTTTTAGTGGGGTTTGCAAAAATGGAGAACCACTGGTGGCAAAACACTTGGTCAGCTCTGTTGGGGTGCCCTTGGGAGCATGGGTCCAGAGGGGAGGTAGGATCAGGGGCCCAGCTCATCCCAGAGAAGCCCCACCCGAGGGCACAGGCCATCCCTGTTTATAGCCAGGCAGCTGCTCTCCCTGATTCGTGCTTCATGTCAGTCTGGGCCGTATGCCAAGTGGGTCATGATTCAGAAGTCCTCCAGGGTGGGAACCTCCTCCACTTCCCTCCAGGCCTGCAGGAGCCATTAACGGAGGTGAGAGAGGGGAGCCCTGGGAGACAGTGCCCGCAGACAGGGAGGTGCCCAGTGGGGAGAACTCACGGCTTGGTCCGCGGATCTTGATGGGCTTACTGCTGGCCATGGACTGGGAGCACGTCTGACACACACACTCCTTCCCGCTGAAGGTCACTTTGTCTCCGATGGGGAAAGGCTTCCTGCAAGGGAGACGGAGAAACTCAGTGCCTCTTCTCTGGAGGGATTCTGTGTCCTGTGGCCTGACAACAGTGTGCTCAGAGCTCGGTGGGAACACGCACAGCTTGCCTTCTAGGGCACGGGATAAATGCAGGGGCTGGGCTGACTGAACCACCCAGTTAGGGCCAGGACCAAAACTGGAGGCCCACTTGGGCTATTTACATGATTTGACACCGGGAGAATCATGACACTTAGTTGAGCTGACATTTCTCATCAGTTGAATGAAGTGGTTAGCAATTCCTCCTAGAGCTGCTCCTTCTTCCTGGAAGGACTTTTCCCACCCAACTGCACCTATCCCTGTATGTCTAAGAAAACTCATTCAACTCCCAGACTTACCAAAACTCCTTCCTTTCACCATCCAGGAAGGTTGGAAGTCCACAAATAACCTCTTCCTCCCCTCCTCTGCATCCATGCAGTATGAGTTCCACAGCTCAGCCGTTTCAAGCTTGTACATGGCTGGCCTCTCTAACTAAATATAAACTACATCCGGAATCCCCACACTGTCGGTCCCATCGTTCAGCTACTCTTGAAGTTTGAGACACCTGTGATACAGACTGAGCATAACCCCTGACCTAGGCTGCCAGGCGTGGGCAATGTTCGGTGTGCTGGGGCGAGAGTTAGGGAGCGGCATTTGCATCATAGTTCAGGCACTGCCTAGTGGTAAAGGGACATGGCATGACCTTGGGGAGGCACCACATTTCTAGGGGGCTTGACAAAATTTTAGCTGTATGGATCCTACTGTGCAAAGTAGTGGGTCTGGGAATCCAGAACCCAGGGCCCAGGTTTTAAGAGAAGGATGGATGAATGAATTCTACTTCTTACATGCTGTGTCATCGGTCTCAATCAGAAACTCTAATTGGCAACTAACAGGTGCTTATTTTATGGGAAAATAATTAATCTTTAAGTTCCTTTCCCAATTAAAAATGCATATATATATAAAAATTCCAATCATGTTTTACTTATAACTTAATCAGAGCAGTCCATTGAATTTTAACATATTTGTGGGCATGGTTGAGGTTTTGTTTATTTTTTTACCGCCTTTATTTGGTACTTGGCATACAGTGGACCCTTAATGTACATCTTCTAAGTTAACAAGTGATTGGGATGCTGGAGGTGGGAAGGAGGAAAGGTGTGAGCTTTCCTTCACCTATCGGATATTTTGAGAGGCTGGTTGATTGGCATTATGGTAATGAAAAGAATAATAAAAGCAGACAGAGTTATGTGCCAGTCATTGAGCTCAGGTCTTTGTGTGCATTGTCTCATTGATCTTCATGAAAACCCAATGAGGTTGGAATAGTTTTGCCTCCCATTTCACTGATGAAGAAGCCGAGGCTTAGGGAGGTGGGGTCACTTGCCAGGGTCATGGCAGAAGGCTATAAACAGCTGCCCCTGTAGCACACGTGGCTGAGGTGTGGGAGCACTGGCCAGAGGTGTGGTTTCCAAACCGAGTACTGACAGGCCAAGGTACTTCAGTGGCTCCTTTGGGCCTTCTGAGGGGAAATGGGAGGCTGAGTGTGGGGACTCAGGTCCTCACTGTCCCTTCACTGCAGGACAAACTAGTGTTTTTACATTAGGTCACATTTGACAGAAAGGGTTCAGCTGTTAAGAGGTTTGAAAACCACTGGGCTGTCCGATCCTTCTGCCCATGAGATCCTAGAAATCCAAGTGTCCAGCATAAAGCCCCGGACGCCCCAGAACTGCCCGGGGAAGACCACTTCTCTTCCCTGGGGGCTCAGGCGGAGATCCGGCCTCCGCCGGCCACATGCTCACCTGCACAAGCTGCACACGAAGCACTTGGGGTGGTAGGTGCGGCCCAGGGCCGAGATGACCTCGCCGGTGATGAAGTCCCGGCAGCTGTCACAGCGGGTGCCGTAGAGTTGCTGGTAGTCCTGGGTGCAGATGTACTCCTGGTTCTTGAAAAAGAAGCCTGACTGGGCCAGGCCGCAGCCGCACACTTGAAGAAACAGGGAGGGAAACAAGAGCAGACTGAGTCCAGGGAGGGTGCAAGCGTGAGGTTCTTGTTGGAGACACAGCCGGAGAACGGTGGTACATCAGACCCATGGGCCTTTGGGGGCCAGTGTTCCCTGAAGACCACTTTCATGGGAATCACCTGGTGGGCTTCTTCAAATGCAGAAGGCTGGGCCTCAGTCAGACTCCCGGGGGCTGGGGCTGGGGCACCTGCGTTTCAGCACACTCCCTAGCTGATACGGACGCACACCCACTGAGACCACTGCTGTTGTACAGTCCTCTCAATACGTGGATGGCAATCTAAGGCCACATGGCTCACACAATGCTACAGGGCTGGTGTATCATGAATCTGATAAAGAATCATTCAGTTAAACATTTCCTGGGCACTTCTTATACACATGACTCTGCTAGGTGTGCTAGGTATGGGGACCATGTACACGGAATCCCACACTGGACTCAGTTTCGGATGGCAGTGGGATGGGTGATTTGAAGACTATAATCTGTCTTTATCATAGCCATAAAGGGCGCATCTGTTCCCAGGCATGAGTGATGAAACACAGTCCCTAAACTGTGAAGAGCTAATGATGTATGTAGAGAGAAGACCATGTTGAACATAAATCATGGTGACAGGCCGTGGGCTGGAGCAGGCAGAAAATTCTGTGAGTGGGGAGGAAGAGAGAGCCCTGTCGTTGGGGAGGGATGATGGGAGGCTTCTTGGAGGAGGCAGCACTTGAGTTGAATTTTGAAGAATGGAATAAGCTAAAACAAAGGCAGGAAGTTGCAAGTGATATTTGTGTGGAGATAGGGCTGGGGAAGGAGTGGTGTTTGTAGGGATCGGGAAGCAGTGATACATGAAAATACTGACTGGCCTAGCTTAAGAAGTTTAGGCTTTATGGGACATTGAGAAGCCATGAATGGTTTTTCCCCTAGTTTTTAAAAACTTAAATTTCTTTTTTCAAAAAATGTAGACATATACAAAAATAGATTATAATGATGCTCTATCACTCAGCTGCAAAAACGATCAATTGCCTTGATAGCTTTGACTAGAGAAGCAACATGGTATTTCATTAGGGCTTTTGGGACATCCTTGTGGACAGCCTGAAGCTGTATGTGACAGCTACCAGAAGAGCAGGTGGATATAATCATAGGTTCTGAACAACTGAATCATGAGAGACTATCTTCCCCCAAAGGACTGTGGGAAATGAGATTTCCCCGAGAGTGGAGTTATGACAGCAACACATGACGGGCAGAGCAGAAAGGGGCAAAGTTCCTTCCAAGAGATCGAATGGCTCTCAGGGCCTCCACCACCGCTGAGTGTATTGATCCAGCTGAAGCAAGGATGGGCCAGTCAGGAAGGAGCTGGTCAGCAGCCAAAGGAAGGCTGCTGGAGAGCGGGCTCAAACCTGTGGCCAGCTCCCTTGTTCCGAGTCTGCATTCACCAGGCGGCTGTCTGATAGTTTGACTTTCTACAGAGATTGCCTTTGGGAGAGAAGCAGCTGGTTAGAGCAAGGGAGAGTTACAACCCTTGTTTACGTGAATAAACAGGCACTCTGGTTTTCTACATCGGTTTCCTGAGCATCTGTGAGCACGAGTCAGCCTTCGCAAGCGTGATCAATGGTGGGGAGACCGAAGAGACAGTTTCCAAGCCTGGGAAAGTGAGGACCTGGCCTGGACAGGGTGACATCACCCAGTCAATGCCACCTCACCTTGAATAAGGAACGTTGTTCTGCAATAGCAGCTGGGTGGAAATAGGAGTGATTCCAGGTGGGTGCCAGAAATATTTTGCAATTGTTTGTTCACCTTGCAGACCAGAGGCAGGCTTTCAGGGCCAGGGTGAGTGAGGAGGAGGGCAGCCCCAGATGTCGCAGCACCAGGGACCTAGTGGTCTGGGAGTCAGACCCCCAGGGCTTTGGTCTTGTCATGGCCACTAACTCTCTGGTGACAGTGAACTTGGCCCTCTCTTGTCTGAGTCCTCTGTTTACTTATATGTAAACTGACCTGAGTCTTCCTTTGGCACTACCGTCCTGTGAGTCTAGGGAGCAGGAGGGCTTCCTTCAGGGCTTACCATGTGCCTAAACATTTGAAACCCGGAGGGAGGTCGAGCCGGCGGCCCCAGGAGCCCACCCCTGCGGAGAAACAGGGCGAATGGGTGGAAGTGGTGGTAGAGGCGAGAGGTGGGGAAGGGTTCTTCTTCCATCAGGCTTCATGAAAATTCATCACATCAAACAATGCCGAGCCTGGAGGGCAGGCAAGGCGAGTACAGGCTGTTCTGGGCTGTGCAGGTGGCGGATCAATTGACTTCATGGCTGTGGAATTAGTTAGGTCATGGCCTACGACCTCCCTGGAAACAGCTCCTGTTTTTTCCCTTCTTTTCTCTCCTTTGTTTCTCCTGCCAACTCCACCCCCAGAGCCACCTCTCCCAGCAGAGAAAACCAGGAGGCCACAAGAAAACTTGGAACAATCAGTTCCTCCTTTTCCCCCAAGGAGCTGAAGGAGGAAGTTTTTGGTAGAAAGGATGTTAAGGTTGATAAGAATCTCAGGCGCTCCTGGAAATACAGTGGGGAGCATGGGGGTGGGAGGCGAGCTGGCCCAGGACAGGTGTCTCTGAGGCTGAGCAGAGCCCTCCATCCCAATACTAGGAAAGGCCACAGAGAGGGTCCGCAGTGTAGACCTGGCGTGGAACCAATGCACCCAGGAAAGTCATTTTTACTCTGTGAGTCAAAAATATAAAGTCTATTAATTTTAAAGGAAAGCAGATCATCTGATTTGACAATGGGACAGAATATGAAAAGGACAGCAGTGCACTGAGAAAACCCAGAATGAATGCTCGCTACAAATACAGTGCCTAGAAGGAGGAATTGCACACGGCTCTCTCAGTGGAGAATATACTGTTCTGCGGGTCGCTGCACCTCTGTCCGTGTTCCCATTCTGCCACTCAGGTGCTGTGTGGCTTTGAAAAAGTTGGCTCACGTCTCTGGATCTCAGTCGCCTCATTTGTAAAATGAGGGAGCTAGGTGGTAACTGAGGACATGTCCAGATCTGAGGGTCCAGGATGATGTCATATAATTCTGTTGATTTTCAATTCTTTAAACAAGACTGAGTTTTATAAAATTTCAAAATCAAAGTGTTAGGACGGCCCCAGAGGGTGATCTAGCTCATTACTTTAAATATTTAAATTGTGAAATATATTATGCATGCAGAAAATGTATAAAATATGTATGTACAGTTTAAAGAAGCAGAATAAAATACACTCCCAGGTATCCGCTGCCAAGTTTACGAAATAGACCATTACCCGCACCTTGGAAGCCTGTTTGCCTCTCCCTAAAGCATCCCCTTCCCACATGGTCCCACGTTGAATGTTTGTCATTCCCTTGCTTTTCTGTATCGTTTTACCACCTGCGATGTAGCCACAAACAATGTAGGTGGATTGTGGATGGACATTTTTATACACGTTTTATTCTCTTCTGCCCAGAGCTGAAGTTGGTACAGGTGTGTCTCAGTGCTGCGCTCCTGCTCCAGAGCCGGTTTATTGCTCATCCATCTATACATTGAGAGTAAGACTTTGGTAACAGGAAATCTCAGGCTCCCTATTAGATTTCCACTTTGACCAGGCTCCTGGCGTCGCCTCCTGCTCGCCATGATCCATGTAGTCAGCCATCAAGGTAAAAAGGCTCAAGGTCTTCACTTTAGCACAAGCCATCAGGGTTAAATCGGGCATTGGCAGTCACAGCCGGATTTCTGCTTTTATTTTTGTTTTCTCTTCTTCAGAGTCCCCCTTTCATGTCTGCACAGTAGTGTATATTAACAGAGTCGTAAAAGGAATTCATAGAGATTTAGATTTTCAATGAGAAGGTTATCTAGTGTAACGAATCCCTGGAGACAAAATCCTCTCATTTGTTTCATCTCTAACTAAGCAAATTGACATTGAAAATAATAGTCCCCCCCTTAAAATCCTCATCAGAAAGATTCTACACCTCCCTGTGATAGACTGTCTAAATGGATAAACTCTTTCCTTCTCTGCATTCGCATGCTTGAAATCTGATGCTGCAGATCCTCCCAGAAAAGGCAAAGCTTATTTCTCCATGATATTTTTTTTGACAGATTTATTTATTTATTATTATTTTTCCTTTTTTATTGAATTTATTGGGTGACACTGGTTAACAAACTGATACGAGTTTCAGGTGCACCGTTCTACAACACAATCGTCTGTACACTGTACTGTGTGTTTACTACCCCAAGTCAGTCTCCACCCATCACCAGTTATCCCCCCTATACACCTCCCTCTCCCCCACCCCCCCAGTATTTCTCTGTGATCTTGAATCTGGGTTGGCCATGTGACTTATTTCCGTCGATGGGACATTAACAAGTATGACACAAGTTGAGGCTTGAAAAGGTCTTGCTTACTGCACTTGAATTCTGCGACCACTATGCAAATGACTCCAAGCCAGTCTGCTGGAGGATGCGAGGCCATATGGAGCCACTCAGGTCAGCAGGCTGCCAACCACAGCCAGCTGATCCCCATGTCATCATGATGAGGCAGGCAGAGATAAGCGGAGCCAGCTTACACGGGAAGAGCTGCTCACTTAACCCAGAGAATCAAGAGCTAAAAGATTGTTTTAAACTACTGAATTTTGGCATAAATAAAAGGTAACTCTCTTAAGACTGTAATTGCAGAGTCATAGCTCAAATCTCCTTATAACAATTCTATTAAATTTACCCTCTGTCCTACCTCAATTTCTGGTGATGTCAAAATGGTAACTCACCACAATACTCTTGCAGGTCAACTTGCATTAAAGGGGTTTGCAAATTCTCAATATAAAATTTAAATCACATCAATTAACATATATTCCATATATACGTCCATAAGTGAATTAGGAAATGTTATTTAATTTTTTTGTTCAGTGCTGAATCCAGTTAGATCCTGAGGGAAGAAATCCAAGATCTTCCTCAATGGCAGGGGATGTCAGTCTCAGATACATGAGGTTGAGGTTGGAAGCGGTTACTAAAATGAAAAGAGCTGAGCCTTTTTTTTTTTATCCTCACCCGAGGACATTTTTCCTTTTTTGTTCAGACAGAGTGGGAGGGAGAGAGAGGAAGAGCGAGAGAGAGAGAGAGAGAGAGAGAAACATCGACGTGAAAGGGACAGACACATCAAGTGGCTGCTACCCGCACGACCAACCAGGGCCGGGGAAAAACTGCAACTGAGGTACGTGCCCTTAGCGGGAACCAAACCCGGGCCTCTCTGGACCGCAGGCAGACGCTCTAACCGCTGAGCCAAACCGGCCAGGGCGAGCTGGGGGTTTTAATTGACCTTAACTTCAGTGCACATCGGTGGTGTGGAGTGGCTCTCCAGGAAGCACTAGTCACATGAGTGCAGTTCTCCCTGTACTGCAGACCTTGAGGGCTGTAGTCTGTTTTCAGCATTATGCCTTAGGAATGACAGTGACAAGTCAGAATGGATCAAGGGAGAAGATTCCAGGATGATGATACAAGTTGGAATTATTTCAGATGAGGCCCAGTGTAAGGACCTGAACGTAACTGGGCACGAGGGAGACCAGCTACAAGTACGTGAAGGGCAGCAACAGGGACAAAGCAAACACAAAGTGCTCATCAAACTCATGAGGACAAATCCAGAACCAGCAGGTGGAAGTTACAGATTTTGGGTCAAACGTTTTCTAAACCCACAGGGCAACCCAACATCAGGACGGCTGCTCTGTGGAACAGGAAGCTTCAAGAAGTGGGGCTGGAGAGTCATTTGTCAGGGGCTCTGGGGAAGGGCCAGAGGTCTCGCCGGGCTCTTTCAGCCGAGTCCCTCCTACTTCCTGCTGCTAGCTAGCCTTCTTCTTTAGGAAATCTTAGCTCAGTCATGTCTAGGGTTCTAGAAATTAGCCTCGAGTAAGCTGTAACAATTAGAGGGAACCCAACATCCATCTGCTCCCAAATTACAGACCTTACTGACATCAAGATGTACCTTGTCCCCTGTTAAAATTAACCTTTGAGGATTGTCACACGGTCATGGAATCAGAGCCATGTTGAATTTTAGCCAGGACAGCTTACTCTTTCACTCACTCTCAAATGGATTTTTAGGCACAGGGCAGGACTCTTTTAAGAGATGCAAGGTAAGCTTGCAGGATACCTGTTTCCTTCTGGGTCAGCACTACCACTCCTAGCCACCAGGCTCTCTCTCTTTTCCATATCTCAGCTCTTCCCATCTCCTTTCCTCCCCCTTCATTCCACACTGCTCAAGGGAGAATGATCGTAACAGGCTCAAGGACAGCCTCTTTAGGTCTTTATTTATACCTCAATTACCTACGCTTGTTCTGCCTAGCCCTGTGGCATGGCCCTGGGTTGGGAGCCTGGCTAGGAATCTGAGAAGGAGCTGGGACACTGGGCCTCCTACCTTGACAGGTGAAGCATCTGATGTGGAAGTGGTTATTGTGGACGCGAACCACTTCTCCTTTGCAGGTGTCTCCACATCGGTAGCACTGGATGACATTGGAGCTGCCCCGGGGATTGTAAGGATTCTGCTGATAAGGAACTGTGGAAAGAAACAAAGACATCACCATCCAGAAGCCCCTCATTCTTTAAAAAGTTTGCCATAAGACATTATTATCATCTCCACTGGAAGAAACAACAGGAAGGGTGCAAGATGAGCGGAGGACCTTCAATATACCAACAGGCTGAACATGCCAATCTAAGGCATCATTAGAAGGGGAGTGGCATTAAGAAGTGAGTCCATAAATCTCCTTAGGCAGGTAGAGACTTTTGAGTGAGCACCAACTTTCCTTTTAATGACAGAGGCCAAATTCACAAATGAAGAAAAATAAAAGAGGAAGTAGAGCATTTCAAGGTAAATAATCCAGAAGTACCATTTCTTGGGTGATCTCTGGATCAAACTTCTCAAAGGGAATTCAGGTCTTGCAATTGACTCATGGGTCTCAAATGGGTGGCTGATGCTGCCTCCAATGGGCTTTTCTGTTAAGCAAGTTACACCCCCTCTCTGCACCTCAGTTTTCACATCTAGAAGACGGGTGTGGTCAATGGTAGCACAGACTCTCTATACAAGAGGCATAAGGGAGGCACTCTGGTTAGAAGGAGGTTGACCAGGGGACTGATCTTAAAGCTGCCTTTGAACAGCATTTCCCATATCATTGAGAAAATGTCAAAATGCATAATTGAGAAAAAAGAGGTGGCGGAGATCTGAAGGGGCTGTCGTCCCTGGGGGTTGGAGCTCAGCGGGCAGCATTTAACGACGTTGGAGAACTCTGCTAACCCGCTGAGTCTGTCGTTCTCTTGCTTTGACCTTCTCATGGCTACTTTTCTAAATCTTCCTTCTGGTCATTTGGGATTTAATCATAGTAGGCACCTGCCTAGCACTCAAAATCTCAGACTTGGGAGGGATATTAGCAGCTGTCTGGTCCAACCTCGTTATGTGTAAGTGTCGGGATAACTGTGCCAGTGAGGAACCAAGTTTTCTCTCTTGTAGCAAGACCCTAGCGCCACCATGGAGGGAGTCACTAAAGTACTCCATTCTCAAAGCGACAGCAATAGTCCAGAACCTTCTGCTCATGCTCTATTAGGAGAAGGCTCACTCTTGTTCTGGCTGTAAACATGACCGCCCGATGGCAGGGGAATTGGTGTCTTTTTAAAATTAATTAGTAGACAAGCAAAGGCTATTTGTTCAGAACGTGCTGTGCCAGGGAGCCAGCCCGCATCACTGGCACTGTGGTAGAGACTCAAGGCAGGCAGAGGAGTGGGAGCGCCTTCTGGGGGGAAAGGGGAGGACCCCGTTTGCCCTGACTGGCAGCTGTAGGCCTGGGGAAGTTCTAGGTGGCCAAGTAGAACTGGGGTGTCCTATGTGACTGGCTAGGGGTGCACATTTGGCTCTCTCTAGTTGGTCTGAAGTTAGAAGCCGGGACAAAAATTAGGGATGAGATTGGGGTGCTTCACTGATTTTCTTTGACATTTAATAGTATTTTATGTTAGTTCAATGTCTAACCAGCATACTGGTTAGACATTTATATAATTTACGAGTTGATCCCTTGATAATTCTAGTACCCACCTGGCAATACATAGTTTACAATAGTATTGACTATATTCCTTATGCTGTACTTTACATCCCTGTGACTATGTTGTAACTACTGGTTTGTACTTCTCAATCCCTTCTTGGTGTCTATCATTTATACATGTAGACTTACTGGCTAAACGCTGAATAAACATATTATATGTTACTCGGACTCACAGGAACCTTGCGCTGCAAAGGAAGTTAGAGATCACCTAGCTCAAGGGTGTTTACCCAGTGTGGTGGTTATGTCTGTTAACTGAAATTTGAATCTGTTATTCTAGGCACACGAAGGATTGCACATGGCGACTTGCTTGGCAATGACATATAAGTGGCAGTTTTGTGTCACTTCCAATTAAAAGCCCTGTGTGCCAGTATGTGATTGGCCGTGCTGCCTGGCCCAGCATCCAGTGATACCCCAGCTGGTGTGTAGAACGTGTTAGCTTAGATCCCTGACTGAGGAATCATAGAGCAGTCTAACCCATGATGAACATCTACCACAAGCAAGGAGACATTTCTGTTGTCATAGCCTCTAAGATTTTTTGTTGCTGCAGCATATCCTGACTGATACACCTGGGATTTAAGACTTCTTTCTAATTAAATATAAAATTTGGTGTTAACTACATTTTCCTATAGCTTGTTTCAGATTTTCAGAGATGATCTTTGTAACTGATTTAATCCACCCTCCTCTTTTTATTTATTTTTTATTTTTATTAAAAATTTTTTAAAAAAATATTTATTGCTGAAAGTATTACAGATATCCCCCCTTTCTTCCCCACTGACCCTCTCCTCCTCACTCCTGACTTCCCTACACTATTTTCTGTGTCTATTGGTTATGCATATATGCATAGAAGTTCTTTAGTTTATCTCTTCCCATCCCCCATCTCCCCATCCCCCTTCCCTCTGAGGTTTGTCCATCTGTTCCCTACTTTCATGTCTCTGGATCTATTTTGATCGTCAGCTTATTTTGTTCATTATATTCCATAAATAAGTGAGATCATGTGGTACTTGTCTTACATCCTCCTCTTTTTAAAGACAAGGAATAGGAAAGCAGGACTTTCGATTATCTTCCACTAAAAGGGATCCTGAATCATACATGTGCTGTCGAGCAAAGCGCTACTTCCTTAGGCCTGACTGTTGCTTCTGACAACTTTGCTGTCTGAGGTGGGAGAATAATACCCTCACAGTCTTTCTTTCATGGAGTTCATACCCGCAGTCAACTCTTTTTTACCTGTTTTTAATGTAAGACAAAAGTTAAATGAGTTAGCTAGTTAACAAAGTCATGAATTAACTTTTAAATGGATTAATACACATAAAGCAGTTCAGAAAGTTCATTAAGTGCTCCACAGATGTCACTGACATCATGACCATCACATCCTCCCCGGAGCCAAGAGCAGTTCTTCCCAGCTCCCCAGAATGTCCACAACATTCTCTTCAGTCCTGTCTCCTTTCCTTCTTTTTCTGATTCCTGCTCCACATCCTTGGAAAATATTTCATTCTCCCCTCTGCCCCTAATTTGTGAGAAAAATATGACCCTGTTTATATGAGCAGTTCGGTGATCTACTATTGCTGAGGGAAACAAAACGGTGAGTCTGAAAATACAATAAGAACAAATAGTATAATCATCCCCAATGATTAGAGCTCTAGAAATATCCAGAAGTCCCTCTGGAATCACTGCACAAATTTTCATCTATCTCTTCTAACTCAACCCGTCTTATTGCTCAAGAACCAACTCCCAAGATCAATTCGATTTTTTGCTGGTTTGATTTTTCCAGGGAAATTAATTTGTGATCATGGTCTTCAGTCAAAACTCAGTCTTTGAACCACTCAGGTAAAAAGGCAAAAAAATCAGAGTGAGGGTGTGGGTTAGGAGGATGGGTTCCTCTGAGGCCGTCCTCTGATGGGGCCCCCAGACTTGATTTCGTTGCTTCCCTCAGGGTGAGGGTACTGCTTGGGTGATGCTGACTGGGGCTGGAAATCCACAAATGTCTGATGTTTGTGAAAAGTCCCATGAACAGAAATGCACGCAGCGTTGGTGTGAATTCTTCCAGACTGCCGATGTCAGCTGTGATTATAAAGGGCAGCGGGCACGCAGGCCTGGAGCTTCCAGACGTGTGAAGACCTTTCGTTATCCCAGCAGAACTCTGGGGTCAAGGAAGCTGTGCCGACCCTGGAAGCCACTTCATCTCCAATAAGATTTTGTGTCCTTGGCTAATTAAATCAGCAACTTAATCTTATGCTGTGTGTGTATAGGTATGTACAGAGGATGTCTTTCTTCCCACCAATCTATAACACACCCAGTCTGAAACACTAACATTTTATTGTGGATTTCCTGCTGGTTATTAATTCTACTAATTTCTATCACAGAAGTACTAAGTGTTTCCTCTCAGAAAGTCGCGATTTATAACAATCGTCTTATGCGCAAACGTCTTTTGAATTCTAAATTGATTGACACGTGAGTTTTTGAACTGCTTCCTGTGTTAGGAACTGCCTCTCCTTGAGGGCGACATTTGAGAGAAGCCACAGCCTCAAAGGACATTAGCTCTGCTAACTTGTGAAATAAGCCACGAGGTTAAAAAGTTTAGAACCATGGATCATGTGATATGTTTCTGAAAGGTGTGCAGGAAACATCTGGCTTCTGTTTCATGTTATTTGGCCAATAAAGGGCACCTAGGAGAGGCATTCCCAGCTATTAGCCTGCAGCAGTGCAGCCCGATAGCACCTTCTGAGCTTTGGAAAAGTTCTATATCTACGTTGTCCCACATAATAATCGTTAGCCCTCTGCGGCCACTGGGCACTTGAAATGTGGCTCGTATGACTGAGATACTTAATTTTACATTTTATTTAATTTTAATTAATGCAAACTTACACTTAAATAGCCACGTGGCTAGTGGCTGCCTCAGTGGACACTGAAGCCTTGTAGTTTCACAAGTGGAACACCAGGTATTGAGAGCGGGGGCAAAGATACTAAACCTGGTTGAATTCTATTTCTATAAAAACATGTACAAACCAATCCAGGAATACCACCTCAGACTTGAATCAGTTCTTTTTATCCTTGAAGAGTTTTTAAAAAAATAATTTGTAGTAGGACCCAATCACACACACATTCACCCATCCTGAATTTGATCTGGAAACAAAAGATTCTGAGCAGTGAAATAAATACTGATTTAAAAAAAAAAAATCACAAATTTTCAGGTACTGTAGAACTGAACAATCTTAACCTTTCCAAAAATAAAAGCAAGAAAATTAGTTGGCAATGGCTGTCAGTATAATTTTCTTTTTTTACCCTCACCTGAGGACATTTTTCCATTTTTTTGTTTTTTTGTTCAGATAGAGTAGGAGGGAGAGAGAGGAAGAGAGAGAGAGAGAAAGAGAGATAGAGAGAGAAACATTGACGTGGAAGGGACACATCGAGTGGCTGCCACCTGCATGACCAACCAGGGCCGGGGACAAACTGCAACCGAGGTACGTGCCCT